ACACAGAAGCCTAGATGCAACCTCTTTTCTCGTAACGAAAAAAGGAAAAACAAAGGGCGATGGCCATGAGATATCATCTTCGAATTGATCAACCCCAGGTAAATTCAGAGTTACTTCACTCATCTGAGTTGATTGGGATCCGGACTGAGGTATGTATTTCAACAGTTCATGGGTTCACCAACTGAACTAGGCCCGTTGGTAGCGCAACCTCCTCCATGACAGTTGGCAGAGATCTTTCCCAAATAACATTCAGTGTCATTCACAGTTCAATGTCTATCTTGAGATCCGCAGTGTCCACCTCTCTCCTCCTTCGCAAGCTATACTTTGCAATGGCTATTATCACTATGTGTGATTAATGAGAAGAATGCCTAAGCTAATAACCTTTGACATAATGTAATATGCTCGTGAAGCCTTTGGGCAATGGCAGTCCATAAAAAACGCCAGAGACCGCACGGCACAGGGGTCGCCAAAGAGGGTTAGCACCGGGACCCCCATGGTACCCTTCACTCCAAAAGTTGTACATTACTTGGAGTAAGCCTTGGGACCTAAACCTCCATCTTCATTCAAACCAGAAATTGCACGTTGGCTCATGAATATCGAAATCAAACATCTGAGAACAGGGGGTGCCAGTTCTCACACGCACACACACGCACGCACACACACACACACACACACACACACACACACACACACACACACACACACACACACACACACACACACACACACAGAGAGAGCGAGAGCAAGAGCAGGTATCCCACCTGCTGGTGGGTGCAGCTCCTGCATGTTCCCGCGTTGGAGGCATGAACACGGATGTGGCTGCTACCGGGTTACTGTAACACTACAATGATTAAAAAAAAAAAAAGGAGGCCTGATTTGACAGGTAATTGAATTGGTTGGGCCTCAGCGAATTAGCCTTAAACCACCGGTACACCTGGGCCTGGAGGCGCTGCACTGCATGCCAAGCTTTTCCAAACCGCCAGTGGTGCACTTTATTTGTTTTTTGGCTGGCGCCACCAGCCATTGTTGGTCCGATAGCTCCCCTGGAGTTGGAGACACCCAAATTGACGAACTCGAGATGGCGCCTGTCCATTTACATTGCATTTCACTTGGAGTACACTCATTTCTCCCATTGAATGTCCGTAGTTTTGATTCATAGATTGCAATTGATTAGCGTTCAGACTATTTATCATTCCATCACACCATTTTGAGTCCAAAACGCTATGCAGGTCATACTGGAGATGATCTAGAAGTTTATTGATTGCAGTCATGCTGCCAACTCGTGATTTTCTGCAATGCTGGGGTCGTGTACTGGCGGTTTAAAAGTGGGAAAAAAAAAGAGAACAAAAAACGAAAGAACACAACGTTTACTACTCATTTTTGTTTGTGTAGAAGGAGTATGTGTTGTATCTGCGTAGAATTGTACACTTTGTATTTGGGTTCCATCAGCTTGAGCTCATTCATATCCAAACACGTTGAATGGCGGCATTCTCTTCAAACTTCAAAGCCAACACCAAGGGATGGCATAATGTGTGACTCCCTCTCTCTCTCTCTCTCTCTCTCTCTCTCTCTCTCTCTCTCTCTCTCTCTCTCTCTCTCTGTGAGAAATACAGGCCAGGGGTCAGCCGGTAGTGTCAAAGACCATGCCATCTGGACCACCTCCCCTCCAGTCCCCTCCCCCTACGAATATCAGCAGTCTCTGCTTGATGCCGATTGGGGAGGTCAACGGGTTACCTCTCTATGGTGGACACCAACTCTTCCCGGTAAGGGACTCAAACCCTGACCTCCTGAATGCCACTTGTGTGCCTTACGAAGTGATGTATGAACTGATGTAGGCTGCTGACTCTTTTCTTTTCCCTTTCCCGAAAGGGTAGTTTCTTTAACAACGGGCATAGTGCCCGCATATGCGTTATGTTTGGGTAACCACACATGAGCGAACCTATAACCATGATACTTCCCAGAGGAGTTTGTGGTTTGAGGGAGTGTCTTCCCCCCTTCCCAAATTCTCCATCATTACTTTCGTGCTTCGTTTTCTCATCTCTTCGTCTCTCGACTGTCTGTGCATAGCGTGTACTGTGGCGGCCAATGTCCCATATTTCTTCCCCCCCCCCCTTGTCCCACTACTGTAGCAGAAGGATAGATTAATCCAGCGGCCTAGCTCAGTGGGTAAGGCATGCAAGTGGCATTCAGGAGGTCCTGGGTTCAATTGCCATTGGCCTCATGTACCTTCCTGGGCAAGCTTGGCGCCCGCCACCTAGAGATATGCAGTTGGTCCCCCCGAGCGGCATTGAGCAGAGACTGTTGATGTTCATAGGGGGAGGGGACCGGAGGGGAGGCACAGTGACTGGCCCATCGAAGAAGCTCGGTCCTGATGCTACCAGCTGACCCCTGGCCGGTATCGCACCTGCTGGTGGGTGCAGCTCCCGCATGTTCCCTCGTTGGGGGCTTGAGCACGGATGTGGCTGCTACAGAGTTCCCCGTAATACTATTTAGAGAATGCTAGACAGAAAGATGGGAGGTGGCCACAAGGTTTGGCCACGTGGCAACAGAATAATCATGCCTTGGGTATGGGCTTGCTTATCTGTTTGCCACGGGTAATTGGTGATCTTAATTTGTCACGAGTAATTGGCGATCCCAATATGTATGAATTCCGTAAATATGGCTGCCACACGGGGATTGTCATTTCAGTTGCGCTACAAATTCGCCACGTGGCAGCGCAGGAGGAACAGTAGTGTTATGCATTGGGGCAGCCTATGTGGTTCACTGCTGTTCTGTAAAGTGGGTCACAATGACGAATGTAGGTTTTGTTCTGGGATTCGCCACAATTGACTTTCTACCTCCCTACTCTGATTACCTCTTCCCCTCATGGCGCAGTAAGACTTCTCTAGAATAAGATGAGGGTTTCTCAGTAGGGATATATCTTTAGTGTGATGGGTAGTTAATCCCCTCGGTTGAGGGCAATCAATGTTGCTCATTAGGTTGAATGGAGCGTGCCTAAGTGTTGGCTCATCAATTGCTCAGGATTATAGTGGGATGAACACGTGGCATGTTATATGACATCTGGTTGTTTACAGGGACGCTGGACCCGTTTTCCAGCAGTTGATGCTCCCCACCAATAGATGGAGCCTCCCCGAGCCTGCTAGAGGTGTCTGCTTTTATCAGCGCTCCTAGCAATCACTTGGGCTGTTTCTTCAAAAAAGAAAAAGAAAAAAAAAGGAGATGTTAGTACGGCAGGTAAGTACGCTCCATCTCCTCACCACTTAGATCTAACCCTCAAAACTTACAGCCCTCAACACTTAATCCGAGGGACGGGGAGGGGAGTCTGTATCGGCATAAGAGAGTCTTGGTGACTGGGTGCCATGGGGAGTCTCCCGGCCAGGAGGAGAATCTGCCACCCTTAATCCAACCTTTCTCTCGCCTCCCTGGTGAAGCTTTTTATAAAAACTGTGTATAAATGCTTGCCGGTGATAAGTAACCGGACTGTTAGCCCCCAGAATAGAAGGGGTCCTTTAATTAAAAAAAAAAAAAAAAAGGCCACCTACGCCTCTGCAAT